GTGCGGCCAACGCTGAACAAAAACTGAGAAATTTCTATTGACGCAGGAGTCTGTCCATATACAAAGAATTTCTTTCTTTTTTTTTTTTTTTTAAACTTATGACATTAAAATATTGGAAATGATGGGACTGCATTCTCTGTTTAAAGAAACCGGGGTGTGTCAGTAGAAGTTTTCCTGAAGCCTCCAGCAGGGATACTTAGTTTTATAGAAGCAAAGGTTAAATGTGTTTTAGAGAAACGCATCTCAAATTTAAACTTTGCACTGTAATTAGCAGTTTAGTCTGGCTCAGAGGGCAGAAATAGCAGCATCTATTGCTCAAGTTTTACAGAAGAATTTTGCATTAAGAAAACTAAAAAAAAAAAAAAAAAAAATCAGTGCCAGCATAATGCCATTCAACATGACACTTTGTGACTGCCTCATCCATGCTGCTTACAGGAGGTCAACTTATTTCAGTATCTAGCAAAAATTATTCTTAACTTTTGAAGCCCTTATAAAACTGTCAGCTAAGTGGAATGAGCTGTGTGGGCAGCAGACGCACACAATTTGAAATGCAATTATTTAATTTTAACGATGTGTTTTTCCACAGGCAACTCGGGAGCCTATTAGATGTGTGTGTGCGCGTGAGTGTGCGTGTGAAGGGGGGGTGCTAGGGAGACTCACTGGACACATTCACCGGTGATTAATGGTTCAATCCAGATTGTTTCATTTAGGTCACAACAGCAAATGAAAGCTCTGCAGAGCCATTTACCCCCTTCCCTCCTGCAGTCAGTGAAAGGTGTGGCCAGAAGGGTATGCTGATTGCAGATGCGGGCCATGGTTAAAACGAAAAAGGAAAACTTAGAATTAATTATTCAGTACAAGCTTCTGCTAGAAGGAAATGTGGAAGAATAGAAGAACTGAAATGCCAAAGATCAGTTTGTTATTTCTCTATTTGCTCTAGCAGCAAAGACAGTCCCATCCCTTCATTGAAATGGAAACCAGATTAAAGAAATAAATGAAAAATCATTATCAAATTGCATGTGCAGTGACTTTATTTCCTAAAATGGTTACAACCACTGTACACACCTTTAGTCTTCAATTAAATTGCCATACATTGACAATGTACTGGAACAAGCAGTTGGCAACAACATATCGAAGGTAGCAGTGTAAACCATATATATAAAATGAGATGATAACGGGCACAAGAGTTTTTAACGTGCCTCTGGAACACCCACTGAATTCGTAAGCGATATACTGAAGTGATGATACAGTTCAGCTGGACACGGTCAGCCCTAACAGATGGAGTAACAAAATACTGCCTTTACCTACAACAACATTTTATGCCCGCAGAGGGCAGAAAGGACATCCTGCCAGATCCTATCAACACACCTGGCATTTACCTGCTAGTGTTTGTACAGAATAGCCTCATTCAGACTAACCTTCTTCTGCAGCAGCATATCATTGATACAAAGCCTGGCCTCCATGATAGAGAGCGAGTCTTTAAGGCGTGGATGGTCCCAGCAAGGCAACACAGGAGTTAGAAAAAGAAGCAGAAGCTTGCAGGAACATTAAACAAATAAGACGACTGAGCCCATTTATCTTTGGGATTTCTTCCATTCCCCCTCCCCTGGCATTAGCAGCTATTACAAAAAACTAGGATGTCAGCTCCTGGAAAGAGGACACAGCTCCTTTCCCTTCCCTTCCCTGGGCTCACGAAGACTCACAGGCATTTTTATTTGTCACAGAGAATTCGCTTAAAGTAGAAAGTAAAAAACCAAACGGACAAAAAAAAAAAAACAAAACAGACAGCGCCTATTAAGTGCAGCATTGCATTGATGAAGAAATACTTTGGTTTACAATTTTAATTTGTTAATACACTTACCTCCACTGTCATTGAGCCTTTGCGAAGACCTGTTACAATCACTGTTCATGCAAGTGGGACTTGTTCTGCCCAAGAAGTGCAAGTATCACTGAAATCTAGTTCTTGAGGATTAAACCTCGCAGAAGATTAGAATTATTTACTTTCTTTAGCTATGACATGAATAAATACATATGATGCCTTGTATATAACTGTATGATGCCTGTATTTAACTGTAGGATCTTATACAGACTCTGTGCTTGCAAGCAAGGTAACTACAGGCAGGAAGGAATCGACCTCCTAACATCATGACATCTCCTGCCTTACAAACAGGGACTGTATCGCCCTTCTCTGTCATTTTCCTCTGTAAATAAATCTAAAGAAAAAAATATTTAAACTGCAATGGTTCTCCATTTTAAAAACATTTCTATTCACTTCCTCCATTGGCATTTCCGATGTTGAAAAACTTTTCCAAGATGAAATACCGGTTGGCAAACAGGAATACCTAAAATAATATACCACTTATTCACTGCATAATTTCTGTAGTTTGCTATACGTATATGTCCCCCACATGTATATTGCTAATCCAGTAACCGTACCTGACAGAAAGATATGCTCTCAGCTCCTTGAGAGACAGGCACAGAGTAGATTCCCTTCAGTGTTGCAGGAGCTGTTCATAATACACCTTGTCATGTTCAAGGCACTCAAGATTTTAAATGGCCAATATGTCACTACACAATTTAACAAACAGTGTTACTCCGGCACACGCACATCGTGGGTGGATTACTTTCATCTATTTGCCAATCGCAACCAGAAAAGATAAAGTATGACCCTTCAAAGGAACAGTGAAACAATCTGAAGGACAGCATGGATTTTTACAAATAAACCTCCAAAGTTTTTACCACTCCTTTAGTACTTACTCTGAGCTATAGAAACTGAAATGCAACATTAATAAAAATATTCCTAAACCACAAATTTTAGTTTCAACAGTTCTCGATTTCTTCTTTACAGACTATGTCTTTATTTTACAGAATTACAAAATAGTTTATAATTTGTACTGCTTGATCACTTTACAGAGATACAAAATACAGCCTCGGACTAAACAACTATCAGGAGATTTAAAAAACTTTTTTACTATGACCCCCCACAATAACGAGTACCTTATTTCCAGTTTTGCACGATTCTCCTAAAGCTCTCCAAAAGTATTTTTATATTTTCTTAAGCGTGAAACATATAAACCTTTTCCGCTTTCATGATGATTAACTGAAAGCTGTTACTTTGTTGTAGATTGTGTATAGTCTCAGTGTTATTTCTGATACAAACAACACATTAAAGCCTAATTATCATAGCTGTCTAAAACTGATTCTTGATCAGAGAGGGTTTATCAGTTTAATAGTCAAAAGGGAAATTAAAGTGCACACCTCCAGAAACTGGTTACACTAATTTATGGTGCAATCACCACGTGTTACATGGCATTACAAGATTTAATTACCTAGTAAAATACAAAATCTGAAAAGCATTCAGTTTATGGGAATGCAAGGCTCTTATCCGTGTTCTGCTTCAGCAAACATGGCAATCTGGTCACGATACTTAGGTACCACAATGTGGTCTCTGCAATACAAAACCACTGAACATTAAACAAACAACATGACTGTTCAGTGTCTTTTGAACAACAAAGCCAAAGCTGTGGACACTGTCTCCTTGCTTAGTGTTTGTCTCTCACAACCCTCGGTAACGATGCCACTGCTCTTGACAAGCCCTGAGCATCCTAGCACACCTATCCACACCCAGGTGGTTTTGCAGGCGAGTAGGTAACAGCCAGCCACAAACATCACCAGGGCACCTCAGGTCTCTCTTTCCTGTTAGTGTTCTTAGAAGTTAACAGTGGAGGGTCCTGCACCCTCCATCTCCCATTAAACAGTGCAGACCCAAAAGAACAGTGAACTGCTGAAATATCCAACCAGTTTTCTTTCTTGAAAGTAGACCTTTTTACCATATAGTAAATTCTGTACGGCAAATACAGAGCATACTGTAAACAGTACTGGGATAAGACTACTTCAGCATTATGTCATACATTTCAAGACAAGGAAAACACCATTAGGTCAATTAAAGGAACATGCTAGCACTCTGTAGGATGCTGACAGCAGAAGTTAATACAAGTTAATAACCTGAAGCTCTTTGTCTGCTCTGCATTCTGGCAGGAAACCAAGTTAGGCCTTGTCCTTCTGCCCCAAGCACAAGAAATTCTTCATATGTTTTTTTCTGCTGAATGACCACCCAAGGGCAGCCTAGAAGGAGCCCCTGGAAGGAGGTGCCCCAGACTCTCGCTGGGTAGCAAATGGATCTCACAACACAAGCTTTTGTAACGACAGGAGAAACAGAAGTTTACCACATAATCCTAAGAGCTGTCAAGCACTTTAAGATCTGAACCTACAGATGTCACATTTGCTCAGTATCTTCCGAAGTCACATTATCAAACTGCAGGTTGCCTGCTAACTAAGAAAACTATTTTGTTTTAGAAGAACAAAGCTTCACTAAGCAGCTGATTATGCAAGTTTCTGTTTGCATTTCCAGGAAGGCAAGAGAAGGCCACACTTGGCAAAAATGAAATCTGTTAATATATAGTGTTTTCCTTCTGCTGATAGCTAGAGATGCACTTATATATATATATACTGTTTTATTAAAAAATAGTGGTTGATTAAAGAAGATTTGTTCATAATTATGCTAGAAAAATACAGTTACTCAGGTAGAAAAAAAATACAAACCACACATAACCCATTCACACATTATCTACAGTTGATAACAAAGGGACATGTTCTATGCCTAAAGCAGCTAACATCACAACTGCATATTGATTTTCAAAGTTGGTTGTGTGCATGTGTTTGTAAATATCTGACATGTTGCTTCCCAGATAAAAGCCTGGAAGTATTTCCCAGATGTAGAATCACAAATCTTGTGCCTGAACATGGCCAGGCAGGTGCCATGGTTTTGTACACATAATATAGGCACGGCAAAAACACCTGCACATTCCTCAGTTTGAAAATCCAGACCTATTGCTCTTTGGCTGACAAGATTTGTATTTTCAAACTCACAGCCAGAAAAACAATACATATCAGTGCTGTATCAGTATGAAACAAAACATGGCTTTTTTTTTTTTTCCTTCTTTTTTTCCTTTTTTAAAATCAAGTCCTCTGTGATTGCAGAATGTTGTCCTTATCTCTTCTAACCCTTACAATACTTGTATTCTTCGTATGCTGGATAAATTACTCCTATTTGCATACTCCGAAGGGATTAAAGCTCCTTTGCTCCACACATCAGAAGGAACCCCTTAAATAGCAGGAAGGGTGCGTCTCTGCTGTGCTGTTAACTCAGGGTGCCACACATCCACAATGAATATCAGGCGATAATTTTCAGCATCCTGCCATACTTCATGTTCGAAAGAGTCATCAAAAATAAGAACTTTCCCTTCTTCCCAGGTTCTGCAACACAAAAAAGAACATGCTTTAAGGTAATATTTGAAGTGCCGTGGAGCAGGCAAGCTATATATCAGCTCTGAAGATGCTCTTTTACATAGGAGAATTATTTAAACAGTACATATTGCACAGTCAAGATTTCAGTACCTAATATAATGAGATTGGAATATCAGAGTTTTAACTGAAATAAACTACAGAAAGATCAGTCTAATGGACCTTCATATTACTGAGGGACTCTTTCCTCTCAGTCTGCGTAATTATGCTCGTGTGTGCCCACATACACATTCAGATATTTGCAATATTTGTTATGTGCTTTTAATGAGTTGAGTCCCATAAGCAGGGAGCATTCATCAGGCTCACAGGTATAACGCTGGTATAGTAATAAACTTCTCTCCTTTTCTAATCAGATACATATATAATGAGTAATGGAAACTGAAGGAATGACCAGCAATATGGTTTGAAAATAAATTACATTAAATCAATCTGCTTTTTCTAAAAATCAGAACAACAGAATTAGGCCCTGATCATGCTTAAAATTTCAGGGATGTTAACAGTCTTGTCCCATAAATGCATTCAAAGCACAGAGTCTAAAGATTCTTCTTCAGAGGACGGTTGCGATGCCATAGTGTACACTGGATTAACTATACTATTAAAGCTGAACTGGGAGGGCGAGACCACATAAAGCCGCTCTGCTCGCCAAGTACTGCTTAGGCAGAGCAGATCACTGAACAGACATAAGTACCCTGGGTGAGTGTTCACTACAGCATGGAAGAGCCATGTTTTAACAGTGGTACTTTTCCAAGATCTGTACCTTTGTTAGGCACAAAAAGGGATGCACGCAATTTATTCAGAGTGGCTTAGTTTTGAGCACCTCCACTGTTTAAAAAAATTAACAAAATTACCAGATTTAAAAGCAATGGCAAGAGGCAATGTAGAAGGGAGATATTGTCAGAAGAACTGGTGTTCCTGTCAATTTTATGAAGGACAGAATCACAGAATAATTTAGGTTGGAAGAAACCTTGGAAGGGCATCTAGTCCATGCCTCTGCTCAGAACAAGACTTACTGCAAAGTTAGGTCCAACTTTGAGGTTAGATGAAGTATCTCAGGTTCTCGACTAGTGGATTTTTGAGTGTCTACAGCCAGCAATATTCTACCGTCTCTTCCAGTGTTTCACTAATCTCATTGTGCAAATTTTCTTCTATCTAGATGTAATTTCCTTCACTGTCACTTGTGTCCATTACCTCTCATTCTATAACTCCACACCTCCAAGAGTCTGGCACTGTCTTCTGCACAGTCCCCCATTAGTAGTTGAAGACAGTAACCAGGCTCCTCTTTAGCCGTCTCTTTTTCAGACTCCAAACCAGCTCTCTGAGCCTCTCTTCATGTGTCGCATGCTCCAGTCTCCTAATCATCTTTTTCATCCTCCGCTGGAGTCCCTCTAGTTTATCAATGACTTTTTTTGTACTGAGGAGCCCCAAACTGGACACAGTACTCCAGAGGCAGTGTCTTGAGTGCAGAAGAGAGGGGAAAAAATCACTCCCCTCTAACTGCTTCCTACACACGTACTAGCACAGTGCAATACACAGCTAGCCTTCATCAAGACAAGAGCACATTATGACTCATGTTCGACTTGTCCCCTAGGACCCGTAAGTCCTTTTCTTCAAAGCTGCTTTCTATCCAGTCATAGAACCATAGAATCATAGAATCATTAAGGTTGGAAAAGACCTCTAAGATCACGCAGCCTGCACTGTTGCAAGGTGTTGATCTGTTATCAGTTGCAGGGCTTTGGCATTTGCTGTGTTGAACTTCAAGAAGTTTCAGCTGGCACACTTCTCCAGCCTGCCGAGACCTGGATTCATAATTTTGAATAGAGGTTTAACGCCTGGTTAAATGCAGTCCTCTTACTGTGAAAAAGCAGCAGCTGATCGGTGACCACTAATGATAATGTCACAACATGTCAAAAAGTCATTGTGCTAGTCATTTGTCACTGCCCCTCAGATCTCAATCTCACCTGTGCATTTAGACACAGCAGCTGATTATGTGTTACATGGTTTGTCTGTTGTAAAGTGGCAGTGGCATGAGCAAAGCAAATTTATTTTGCATTGCAGCAGGACAAAGGCATGGACCTGATTATACCCCTTAAGGTGAGACTGGATGAATAACAGCCAGTCGAGGCAATATTGGTCAAAAGTGTTACCTCCTAAAGCCACAATAATCCAGTTTTTGAACAGAATGCCTTAGGGGCTGAAGCAGTTCATGAGGATGGATGCCCTTAAAGGGAATTAGGAACTGTGAAGTGTAGTGATGGTAAAGAAACAAAGATCTTGTCATCAAAGATGGAAATGCATTGCTTAGCTCATTCAACTGTGTTGGTTCACAGAGAAAACTATTTTCTTTCTTCAAAAATAGGGTGAAAATGAGATTTAGACTCCCAAGTCATCTCGGTATTTTAATTTTTAATTCAACAAAAGCAAAAATTAACCATCAAAATTTATGGGGTTGTGCTGCAATGTTCTGAAGAGAAATGGAAATTTCAACTGAAATGATCATCTAAGCATGTTTTAATCAAGAGTAGATAAGCCAGAAAGCATAACATAGTAAAAAACTCACACTGGCTTGCACACAAATATCAGCCTTGAAGGCCCAGATAATGAGGCTTTTTCAGTTTTCACCTATGATCATGTGTTTTTTCTGCTACCATGTTAGTTATCTGATAACAAAAATGTTTTATGTCATACAGGCCCTGAGTCTCTGCTACTGCACTACAGTTATATTGGTACTATTCAAGTCAATGAGAGTCAACCAGTTGCAACGTTACAATGTGGTAAAAAAATCAAGCCGACTTTGGGATTTTTTTGGGAGTGTGTGGGAGGTTTTTTTGTTGTTTTGGAGGGGCTTGGGGGATTTGTTTTTGGTTTTGTTTAAGGGGTATTTTGTTTTGGTGGGGTTTTTTTGTTGCTTGGGGAGGTTGTTGGGTTTTGGGGGTTGGTTTTGGTTTTTTGTTTGGGCTTTTTTTTTTTTTTTTTTTTTTTTAAACTAAACCAAGCCTGAAAAATCTTGCCTTAAATAGCCTGAAAGTGCAGCTCAGTTAAGGACAATAAAAACTCCAAGCACCCAGATGAAGTAGCTTCAGAGGTTAAAACCCAGGACCTACCATTTGCATCATAATGGGATGGGTTGTTTTGCACAACAAAGAAAAAGTCATAAAGTTGAGAGAACTATTAGCCCCTTTTGAATAGATTACAAACCCCACCATTAGCATGCAAATAAATATTTTCTAGAAGCCTTCATGGTGTGAAAAACACTTCACAGCGGGAGCATAGGGATGATATTATTCTGCTCTGGTGCTGAGCCACTTTGGGGAAGTTTCTATACCACAAGCTCTAGTGTCACCTGTTAAAGGTGAGATCTTGGATTGGCTTCTGCATAAGGCTGTAATTCTGCACCTTCATTTCAAAACATGATTACCTTGTCTGACAGAGATGTTCGATTTTGATAACTAGAGACTATTTACCTACCGTTTTTGTGCATTGTACCCAACACTTCACAGAGTTGGGACTTCAAAATGGCCCAATGACATAAAATTACTATAGCTGTACTGAATAACAATGAGGTGTACCAGCTCCTAGCAGTTGCAAAAAGACCCTTCTGCAGGTGAAGGAGTAAAACATAGTACTAGGCAGAGCTGAGTTGCCTGTCCATCAAAGGATGAGTTGCATTGCTCTTCTAAACACCCACAATGGGTGGGCACAGAGGTAACCAAGCACAAAATTCTCATTGTTTCTGTTCTCTATCTCATACACACAGTAGTGGGACAGGAGGCCAGAAAAGGCCTGACCTACGCTAACCTTCATCCTCGAGCCAACTCTCCTATTTGGAACCACTAGTTTACCACTGCTCTGAACCACCAGGAGGGGAGGAACAGAAAATGCCCAAGGTAGGATTTCCTTCTGGCATCATTCCCTTCCACAGTAGTTCACCCTCCTCCCCTTTCATGGGTGAAGGGATGTAAAAAAGCCCCTTTCATTGCCATCAGTAGACACACTTTCAATGCTTTCAGGGAAAATCCTGCCTTTGATTCCGAATGTAGAGCTCTTACCAAAAGCAACTAAAGTTAACACATTCCAGCACAGGCTGTAGTCAGCTCTTGAGTGGTTTACATTTCAAACGAGCGAGTCCGATGCATAAGACCGAGCCAGGTTCAGGAGCCTGGACATTGGAGTGTTCGGTCTGCAGCATACCAGCAGCAACAGACGTTTCTCCACTCTTGACTTTGAGGGAGTGTTGCTACCAAGGAGGAGGTCGTTAAGCTCATTTTCCATACCACTACTGCTTCTGTTCGGGTTAAGACAAAGAAGGGTGCCAGCTGTAACAAAGGGCGCTGAGCTGTGGACACCTGCTGTCTTGGAAGCAGATCAAAACCACCACTTCGTTCACACAGACCGCTAAAGAGGCACCTAATGGTAATGCCACCACTGATCTGAATTCACAATAATGTCCTAAAGTGAAAAGACTCCACTTCTCTCCTGTTAGTCCTCTAAGCTCATTGGCTACGTCTCCCTCCATCTAAATGTCTTTCTTAAACTGATTTTGGATATTGGATTTGGATATGGAATGCTGGAAGCCAACATGTTCATTACCACCTAGATGTAGGTAGTGTAGATTGTAATACTGACTGTGACAGATTATTAAATAAGCTGTATGTTAGCAGTGACAACATTTTTGGTTATTAACAGTTGGATACTTCTATCCTCAAAAATTTGAAACATTTCTTGTTGTAGCTGTTTTCAAATGTTCTGGAAAAAAATCTTTGCTATGTATTGCAGTCATGCAGACAGGAGTGACATTTCAGTTCTCAATATCAAATATATCTGTGCATTAGTACTATGAAAATAATTCAAAATTAATGCTTGTTGCACTCAGATGCTGCAGACAAGACACAGGATCTTCCAAGAATATACGTATAGATATTAAGCATCATTAGAAGTTCACATAAGTCAGAAAATTAAGTCTGTAAGCAAAGAGCAATATAGTTAACACTATATTTTTCTTTCTATGTTTAATAATATAATGCAAAAACCTATCACATTTTCTCATATTTCCCAGGGGAGTATATGCCCCGATTGTAAATGTCTAAGCGATTGCATTTTATTTTGTTTTTTTGCACTGAGCAAACAGAGCTAAAACTGCTCTTCAAGGCAGCAAAATTTTTCCCTAAGGGGTAGGAATTCTTACTTAAAATGCACTTCAAACAAATTTGCTACCTGTGTAACTCATGGGCCAAACACTTCACAGATATCTTCATCTTCAAATCAAATTCAACTGGAATGTTTTTAACTGAATTATAACAAATAATACCAGCTAGGAAGGAGGCTTTTGCCAGAAATACAAGAGTGTTCTGTCACAGTGGTGAAAATGGAGGCACAGCTTAGTCTTAGCTTTTGCGGAATAAGCAAGAATTCTAAGTTGCCCCAAAATCAAAACAAATAGAGGAACTCTGTTGGCAACTCTATTGGACTGGCATTGTTAAAGTAAACACAGAGACTCCATGGACTAAACCTACTGTTATTTCCATGCCATAGCAGAGAAGAGCAGTTTTACCTCCAAAGATTCTTCTGTCATTGTTCGAGAACTGATATTTATATGTTTGTACCAAGAGTTAGGGTGCAAATTGCCTGTTTAACGAGATATATTACACCTCCCGATCAGTAAAACACCCCACTTTTTTTTTTAATTACATGTAGTCCCACCTCTTTTTCAGCCTCGAGGAAGGTGGGAAAAAATCCCCAAAACCCCAACCATACCTGTTCTCTTGGGCACACCGAATTCTGCAGCCTTCTTTAGGTATCACCAAGCCCAAATGCATCCTTAGCCGACAATTGGTGGGCCCTGTGTGGGGCCAGACATGAGTCCCCGGGTGCATGATAGAATATTTGATCTGCAAGAAGAGAAAGGCAGGCCTTCAACATGTTCAGCTTCACAACCATACTGCTAGGAGTTCAGAACTTCATTATATCTCATCCTTGATGATGGGCCAAAAGTGCAATGTCACCTTTTGTTAGAGTCTCAGCAACAATTGCGCTTTCTCACATCCTAAAGGCATTCAGTACTACAAAACACGTCTTGTGGGGTGTGTGTGCATGTGTAAATGTGCATATTTTTCATTTTTTTTTTTTAAATAATCATTCAACCTGAAAATAACTATCTCCTATCTACAAACAGAAAAATACTTCTTTCCTATAACGACTTAAAGATACTCTTATCATTTAAAAGACTAGACCACAGGAGACACAAGGCCTGTGTTAGCCAGACTGACCAGCCCCCTTCAGATGACAATTGGGTTTTGAAAGTCACTGTCAGCCTTTGCTGGAGCAACCATGAGATGGTGGAGTTCAGGATCATGAGGAGGGAGAAAGGCAAAAAGTAGGATCACTACCCACAGCTTCAGGTGAGCGGACTTGGGCTTATTCAGGAATCTGCTGGGAAAAATCCCATGAGATACAGTGCTGGAGAGAAGACGGTTCTAGGACAGCTGGTTGATTTTTAAGGATCACCTCGTCCAAGCTAGGGAATGGTTCATCCCCATGTGCAGGAAGCATGGAGACCCAGACAAAACTGAAACACAAAAAGGAAGTATTATACAAGAGCTGGAAGCAGGGTCAGGTCCCCCAGGAATACTGTAGAGACACTCTCTGAGCATGCAGGGATGAGGTTAGGAAAGTCAAAGCTCTCCTGGTGTTGAATCTGGAGAAGGAAGTGAAGGGCAACAAGAAATGTTTCTACAGATACATCAGCAGTAAAAGGAAGTCTAGGGAAAACATGGACCTGCTGCTAAATGTGGCAGGAGATCTGATGACAAAGGACATGGAAAAGGCTAAGGCACTACATGCCTCCTTTGCCTCAATCTCTACTGGTATGACAGACCATCAGGAATCCCTGGCACCTGAGACCAGTGGAAAAGACTGGAGCAAAGACGACTTACCCTCAGTGGAGGAGGATCACGTTAGGGAACATTTAAACAAACCATTTCCAAACACATAAAGGAAAAGAAGGTGATGGGAGCAGTCAGCATGGATTTACAAAGGGGAAATCATACTTAACCAGCTTTCTACGGTGAGATGTCTAGCTTGGTGGATGAGGGGAGATTAGTGGATGTTGTTTATCTCAACTTCAGTAAGACTTTCAACACTGTCTGCCATAAACATCCTCATTGACAAACTGATGAAATAGAAACTAGGTAAGTTGACAATGAGGTGGATTGAAAACTG